CCTTTCTATACACAAATGACAAGCAGTCAGAGAAAGAGCACAGGGAAACCCTCCCATTCACAATAGCCACAAAAAAACCTCAATTAAAAAAATCTCGGAATAAACCTGACCAAAGACATTAAAGACCTCTACAATGAAAATTTTAAATCTTTAAAGAAAGAGATTGAAGAAGACATCAGAAGATGGAAGGACCTCCCATGATCATGGATTGGAAGAATTAATATTGTGAAAATGACCATCCTACCAAGAGTCATATATAGATTCAATGCAATGCCAATCAAAATCCCCATGACATTTTTTACAGAATTGGAAAAAATCATCCTAAGATTCATATGGAAGCACAAAAGACCTCAGATAGCCAAATCAGCCCTGAACACTAAGAGCAATGCTGGGGCTAAGGAGCTGAACAGAGAGTTTTCAATGGAAGAAGTAAAGATGGCTAAGAAGCATCTTAAAAGATGTTCAACATCACTGATAATTAGGGAAATGTAAATTAAAACCACTTTAAGATTTCATCTTACCCCAGTCAGACTGGCTAAGATCAAGAGAACAAATTTTACCAAATGTTGATGAGGATGTGGGGAAAGGGGAACACTTATCCACTACTGGTGGGGCTGTAAACTTGTTCAACCCCTATGGAAAGCAGTGTGGAGAACTCTTAAAAAACTACAAATGAACCTATCATTTGACCCAGTTATACCACTCTTTGGCATATACCCAAAAAACTCATCCTATTGCAGAGATACCTGTACACACATGTTTGTTGCTGCTCTTTTCACAATAGCTAAGAGATGGAAGCAACCTAAGTGTCCCTCAACTGATGAGTGGATAATAAAAATGTGGTTCATTTATACAACGGAGTGTTATTCAGCAGTAAAGAAAGATGAAATCATGAAATTTTCAGGTAAATGGATGGAACTAGAAACTGTTATACTAAGTGAAGTAACACAGACTCAGAAAAAAAAATCAACATATGTTCTCCCTCATATGTGGATCCTGAAAAGTGAGTATGTATCCAGACATAACTACAGGAACCAGATAAGTGAGTATGTATCCAGACACAACTACAAGCCCTGATAAGTGAGTATGTATCCAGACATAACTACAGGAACCAAGATAATGGAAAGGAAACAGGGAGGTAAAGGAAAAGAAAGAGCCTGAAAGAGAAGAACAATAGGAAACAGGCCTTAATAAGGGAGATATGGACAAAAATTGGGTTAGTTTAAGGGAGGGGGAGGGAAGGGTATACAAGGAACCTAGGGGATAAGGGGAAAGAAGGAGCTCAAGAGAGGTAGGACCTTAGGAGAAGGGTATTACTAAGGGAGAAATGGGGGAAATTGGGGCACCCTAAGTGCTAAAACTATGGTGGAGGGGTGAGGCAATGTGAGAGATAAACAATGCCTAGCTAGTTTTGAAAACCAGAAGGAACCATATTAGTCCAACAACCTACTGACAAATTATACATAGCAGATCAAGAAATATATGTGCAGGTAAGGTTTATTTGAGAACAACTGGTCTCTGCCCAAGATTTATCTACATGACCCACAGTAATTAAAAGTACCAGACTGGTGGAACTAACCTTCTTGGATGTTTAACAGACATACTTTGAGGCCTATACTAATTTGGTCAGAGGGACATAAAGGACAGTTTTTGCTCCTTTCCCTCCTAGGTCAACTAGTTCTAGGGGAC